CGCACCCGGCCACCACAGCCTCGCCTGCTGGGCTCCGGCGATCCTTCCTCCTCAGCCTTCGGAGTAGCCGAAATACAGGCATGCGCTACCACGCCCGGCTGATTTTTTTTTTTATTTATTTATTGTAGAGATGAGGTCTCGCTGCCCAGGCGGGTCTCGAACCCGCGGGCTCAGGCAGTCCACTCACCTCAGCCTCCCAAAGGCGCGGGATTATAGGCTGAGCCACTGAGCCCGGCCCCTTTCTTCTTATATGTATAAAATGTCTGGCAAATTGTAGATACTTAGCAAATTTCTGTCTTTCTTTCCCCGATTTACAGCATTTGTCAATTTCCATGGTATAAATAAGTACACTCATTATGGTCAATTTTAAGCTACTCACATGACACTGAATGCAAAGTTGGGAAGGAGGGACTACAACTGGCTCTCCTGAGCTTACAGTGAGCCAGCTCTATCATATCACTCATCCTAAGTCTATCACAGGAAGATGAACATTTCCACAAGGTATTATTCATAGGTTTCTATTTTTATTCTTGCTAAAGAAATCAAGAAAGACATATAGTAGATGTTTGGTAAACATTAAATAAATGCCATTGGCTGTTACTTTTCTGATATATGCTTTTCTCTTAGAAAAAAATTGTACCTCCATTATCTCCTGAAAATGTCTCAAACTAGAGGACTATTTTAGTTATAAAAGGGAACAAGAGAATGTTGACTCTAACAAAATTTCCCTCCTCATCCCAAAAGACATATAAATAAAGAAAAAAAGTAATTTAATGATGGTCATTTTATACTTTAAAATTATTTATTTTATACTTTTTTTTTTTTTGAGTTGGAGTTCCACTCTGTCACCCAGACTGGAGTGCAGTGGCCGCTTCCAGCCACCGCAGCCTCGACTGCTGGGCTCTGGCGATCCTTCCGCCTCAGCCTTCCGAGTAGCTGGAACTACAGGCACGTGCTACCACGCCTGGCTAATTCTTGATTTATTGTAGAGATGAGGTCTCGCCAAGTTGCCCAGGCAAGTCTCGAACCCGTGGGCTCAGGCAATCCACTCACCTCGGCCTCCCAAAGTGCTGGGATTACAGGCTGAGCCACCGAGCCCGGCCCTATTTTATACTTTTTAAGTCTACTCTGAAACGGAAAGGTAAAAAGATGTCCTTTGGTCAGATGCGGTGGCTCACACCTGTAATGCCAGTACTTTGGGAGGTGGAAGTGAGAGGATTGCTTGAGCCCACAGGTTCGAGACCAGCCTGGGCAACTTAGCAAGACCTCATCTCTACAATAAATCAAAAAGTTAGCTGGACATGGTGGCATGTGGCTGCAGTTCCAGCTACTTGGAAGGCTGAGGCAGAAGGATTACATGAGCCCAGCAGGTCGAGGCTGCGGTGGCCGGGAGCGGCCACGGCACTCCAGTCTGGGCGACAAACTGACATTCTAACTCAAAACAAATAAACAAAAACGTCCTTTTAGTTATTTATTTATTTTTAAGTTGGGGCCTCACTCTGTAGCCCAAGCTGAAGTACAGCGGCATAATCACAGCTCATACACAGCCTCAACCTTCTAGACTCAGGTGATCCTTCTGCCTTAGCCTCCTGAGTAGGTGGGACTGCAGGCGCCAGCCACCCTGCTTGGCTTTTTTTGAATTTTTTGTAGAAACAAGATCTCACTATGTTGCCCAGACTGGCTTTGAACTCCTGGGCTCAAGCAACCCTCCTGCCTTGGCCTACAAGTAGTTGGAATTACAGGAGTGAGTCACTGAGCCCAGCCCGAAATACATATATCGCGATAAGATAGTTAGAGTAGTATTCCTTAAAAATAAAAGGATACAGAACAGTTTGAAATGGTTTTAAAGCAGCAGTTTTCAATCTTGGCTGCCCACAGGGAAGCACTAGGATAAGTTTTTTAAAAATCCAGGTTAACAGAAAAAGAGATTCAGATGCCTAGACCATACCCTAGATCAATCACATCAGAATTTCTGAGGTGTAGAACAATCCATGTATCAGTATTTTGTAAAGCTCTCCAGACAATTTGAATGTGCAGTTAAGACCAAGAACCACCGGTCTAGAGAAATTATACATTTCTTAATCTGTTATCTGATTAACCCAAAGCAGTCCTCAAATAAGCACTAAAACTACCTATTCATTCTAGGGTGTCTTGGTAAATTTTACTAACATGACTTGGATTACAGAGGATCAGACAGCCATAAAAACAACACCTATAGGGCATTTCAGGTGACTGCCATAGTGCAAAACAACTGGCATAAAGTAAACACTGAAGAATAGATGACTATATAAAGAAAAGAACAGATGAATGTTTTGTTACTAAAATCTGAAAACTAGATTGTAGACAATATTTATGAAAATTATGTTCAAATAATTTGAAAGAAAGAATTTGGGCTGGACACGGTGGTTCATGCCTATAATCCCATTATGGGAAGCTAACATGGGAGGACTGCTTGAGCCTAGAGTTCAAGACCACCCTGGGCAACACAGGGCAACACAGTGAGACCATATCTCTACAAAAAATAAAAATACTAGCCGGGCATGGTGAGGCTGAGACAAAAGGATCACCTGAGCCCAGGAGGTCAAGGCTTTGGTGAGCTGTGATCATATCACTACACTCCGGACTGGATGACACAGTGAGATCCCAACTCAAAAAAATAAAAAGCAAGGATTAGAAAATTACCAAATCTAGGCCGGGTTTGGTGGCTAGGCCTGTAATCCCAGCACTTTGGGAGGTTGAGGTGAGTGGACTTCCTGAGTCCAGGGATTTGAGACCAGCCTGGGCAACTTGGCGAGACCTTGTCTCCATAATAAAATAAAAAACAGTTGGGCATGGTAGCGCGCGTCTGATGTTCCGGTTACTCAGAGGTTGAGGCGGAAGGATCGCTGGAACCCAGTAGGTTGACACTGGGGTGGCCATGAACGTGTGTGCCACTGCACTCCAGCCTGGGCGAAGGAGTGAGACTCCAACTCAAAAAAAAAAAAAAGAAAAGAAAGAAAAGAAAGAAAATTACCAAATCTAATACATTGTTTTAAAATATTACTGATAAAAATCACAGTTTTATACTGGCTGTTTCTACACCTTGCAAAATAAAGTTGGACCAAGAATAATCTGCAATATCCTATCTTGTTTTAGCATGCAATTAGCTATAGTCATGGAAGGTAACTAACAATGCATTTTTCCAAAAAAGAAAAACTACTTATGTACCTGTTTCAAAGCCAAAGCAGGCCTCAATTATATTTTTTTGTGGATCCATGACTTACTGTATGCAAATTACCTGGAACAATGTCTGACACATAGTAAGTGCTCAACACATGTTACTTATTATGACAATATTTCTTGGAAAGATAGGTATGAACAAAGTAGCAATATAAATATATCTTACTTGCTCTTGAAGACTCTGAGCCAATGCCTGCTGAAGCTCTTGCTCTTCCCTTTCACGCTCCATGTCATACTGCTGAAGCCAATCAACCTCTCCCTGAGATCCTTCTGGAGTTTTGTTTTCTTTATTCTCATCACAGTCTTTAGTTATCTCAGTAAAACTGGCAGGATCTGAGAAAGCAGAACATAAAATTATTTTGGAAAATTCTCTCTAATAAACTGAAATTTCTAAAGTAGAGTGACATCTACTGTTCAGACAGTAATTACCATACCTAAACTCATCTATAATTTGTTTGAGATTTATAATTTCATCTTACTAAATTTACATCAGTGTTACTCAACCTCAGTGCTACTGGCATTTTTTTGTTGTTGTTGGAGTGCAGGGAGGAGTCTGTCCTGTGAATTGTAGAACATTTAGCAGCATCTCTAGCTTCTGCCTACTGGATGCCAGTAGCATCCACCCTCCACAGTTGTGATAATGAAAAATAACAGACACTGCTACATGACTCCAGAGGGGAAAAACGGTCCTTGGTTGAAAATAAATGTTCTACAGTAATGGTTCAATAAAACTTAATTGACCATCAGTGAAACATACTATGGTTAAAGATGGGGAAGAGCAAATAGCCGTCATCATAGGTCATAGTGTCATTTGACCAAGTACTAGAAATAAAGTATTGTTTAGAGCAAATTAAAAAAGAATTAGGCCAAAATGATCACGCTAACATTGAGATTTTCCAATTTATAACACTGTATGTTGAGCATGTGTGTTCATATTAATAATCAAATAAGCATAGTATATATTCTATATCAAAAGAACCAAGCAGAAAGTAATAAGTACTGTACAAGTGTTTGGCAATATACAGTATATGTTCAAAACATTCATTTAGGGAGGTAAAAAAGTTAATCTTTAATTTCTTTTCTTTCTTTTTGTTATATCTCAATTTCTAGACCATGGTTAGCTGGGATAAACTGGATAGTCATGATTTTGTTCTGGCTATTTGAATTGTGAGAGCAGTAACATTTCAGTATAACTTTTAATACAGATAAGATTAGGGAGGACTCTTAAAAATGATATCACTTTACCAAAGTAAAAATCCTCAACTAAAAAACTGGTCTGCGAGAATTATCTTTATACATTCATGCTATACAGATTGCTTTAAGTTAGTATATGCTTTTTACCTACCCTAATACTGCATTTTATTTTATTTTATAATTTTTTTTTTTGAGTTGGAGTCTCACGTCGTTACCCAGGCTGGAGTGTAGTGGCACACTTATAGTCACCTCAGCGTCGACTTGCTGGGCTCAGGCGATCCTTTCACTTCAGAATTCCAAGTAGCTGGAATTACAGGTGTGTGCTACCATGTCTGGCTAATTTTTTTTTTTACTGTAGAGACGAGGTCTCACCAAGTTGCCCAGGTTGGTCTCGAACCCCTGGGCTTAGGCAATCCTCTTGCCTCAGCCTCCCAAAGTACTGGGATTACAGACTTGAGCCACTGCGCCCGGCCTTAATACCACATTTTAAATGGGTACTTTTCTACGGCTTGGTTTTAGATTTGAAATCAGCAATTAGTTATCATTTTTAATTGCTAAGTGAATATTCATCATTAAAATTAACTAGCTGGGCACAGTAGCTCATGCCTGTAATCCCAGCACTTTGGGAGGCCAAGGTGGGAGGATTGTTTGAGTCCAGGAGTTTGAGATCAGCTTGGGCAGCACAGTGAGAGCCTGTCTCTACAAAAAATTAGCCAGTCTGCCAAAAAGACACCTGTACATGCATGTTTACTGCCGCACTATTCACAATAGCAAAAACATGGAACTAACCCTGATGCCCACTGAAACTGAACTGGATAAAGAAAATGTGGTACATAAACATGATGGAGTATTACGAAGCCATAAAGCGGAATAAAATCATGGCCTTCAAAGCAACTTGGATGCAACTGGAGACCATCATTCGAAGTAAATTATCATAGAAACAAAAAACTGAATACTACATGTTCTCGTTCATAAGTGGGCCTTGATCACTAGTTGCATGAGTACAAGGGTAGGATGGGCAGTCACTGGGCACTGTTAGGGAAGGGAGGGAGGGAGGGAGAATGGGGGATACGTGACAACACAAAGGGTACCTGGTCCACTACCAGGAGGAGTGAGGGCCACCTAGAAGCCCAAACTACACCTGCATGCAGTCTATTTATGTAATACATGTTCACTTATACCTCACAACTCTATAATAAATAAAGAAATTTTAATAAAGAAAGAAAAAGTTTTATCTGGGCCATGGTGGTACATGACTATAGTCTGGGAGGACTGCTTCAGCCCAGTAATTTTAGACTAGCCTAGGCAACATAGCAAGACCTTGTCTCTACAAAGGAAAATTTAAAATCAGCTGGGCAGTGTGGCATGTGTTTGTAGTCCCAACTACTTGGGCGGGAGCTGTGATTGTACCTCTGTATTCCAGCCTGGTTGACAGAGTGAGACTTTGCCTCAAAAACAAAAACAACTGAATATTAAGCCAGGCACGGTGGGATTTTTTTATTTATTTGATAAAAAATCCCAGCACTTTGGGAGGCTGAGGCAAGAGGACTGCCTGAGCCCGGGGGTGCGAGACCAGCCTGGGAAACATGGCAAGATCTCGTCTCTACAATAAATAAAAAAATCAGCCAGGTGTGGTGGAACACCTCTGTCGTTCCAGCTACTTGGAAGGCTGAAGTGGAAGGATCACCTGAGTTCAGCAAGTCGAGGCTTTAGTGGCTGTGAGCATTCCACTGCACTTCAGCCTGGGTGACAGAGTGAGACTCTGACTCATAAAACCTCTGAATGTTTATTAAAATATTTATTAAAAAAAGAAATGTCCAACCTGGGCAACATAGTAAAACCTTGTCTCTACCAAAAAAAAAAAAAAATTAGCTAGGCATGGTATCACATGCCTGTAGTCACAGTTACTCAGAAGGCTGAGGTGGTAGGATCACCTGAGCCCAGGAGGTCCAGGCTGCAGTGAGCTGTGATTGTGTCACTATACTCTACCCTGACAGAGTGAAACCCCAACTCAAAAAAAAAAGGGAAAAGAAACAGAATTTATTTGATAAAAAATCCCAACTGTTCACAAAATATTGGAGGCTTGGAAGGGGCACCTTGAAAGCCTACACAATCCTGCCTATCCCTCTGACCTTATCTTGCTGTACTGGGAATGAATTATTTGACTCAACCAATCAGATTATCTCTTCTGGAAATCTGGAGCTGAAATTATACAAAGTTAACTACCTAATGATGAACATTTCAAGTGGAAGGAAGATTTGGGAATTGAGGCTACTATTTTAGGGTATAATTTCTGTAAGTGAGTAATCAAGATGGAATAGAAGAAAAGACCCAAGATTAGAAATTGAGAAAACAGACTGTTGAAAGGAATCATTTATGAGGAAGCTGAAGAGTCTAAGAATGTTGATGGAGCGGGGTGTGGTGGTTCATGCCTGTAATTCCAGCACTTTGGAAGGTGGAGGTGAGAGGATTGCCTGAGGCCATGGGTTCAAGACTTGTCTGTGCAACATGGTGAGACCTTGTCGTCACAATAAATAAAAAAATTAGCTGGGTGTGGTGGTACGTGCCTGCAGTTCCAGTTACTTGGCAGGCTGAGATGGAAGGACCACCTGAGCCCAGCAGGTCAAGGCTGTGGTGGCTGTGAGCATACCACTGCATTCCAGCCTGGGCAACAGAGTGAGACTTCTACTCAAAAAAAAAAAAAAAGGGAGGCTCCGTGGCTCAGCCTGTAATCCTGTGCCTTGGGAGGCTGAGGTGAGTGGATTGCCCGCAGGTTCGAGACCTGCCTGGGGGTGAGACCTCATCTCTACAATAAATCAAAAAATTAGCTGGGTGTGGTAGAGCGCGCCTATAATTCCAGCTACTTGGAAGGCTGAAGCGGAAGGATCACTGGAGTGATGAAGTGGTATAATATCTGGGATTGATTTCTAAGTAATTCAGGGAATAGGATAGAGAAATGGGTTGGGCACAAATGAAACAAGACTGGCTTTTTGTTGATAATTACTGAAACTAGATGATGGATATAAGAGGTGAGGAAGGTTCATTAGACTCATCTTTCAACTTTTGTCTTTATATTTTCCGTAAGTTAAAAAAATATTAAGAGAAGCAATGTCTTTATTCTCAGTTTTAGTAAGAAGGTGAATGGAATGGTGAGGTTAAAGAAACAGGAAAGACAACAATTGGCCTACATTCAATGGAATGTGGTAGCTAAAGAAAAAAAAGGTGTAGGACATAAAATACTAAACAAGTTTGTCTTCCCCTAAGGTGCTATATTCATAAATCACCTATGATTATGAATTATTTTGATAACCTCAATGTTCTCCATTGGAACAGATAATACAGAATTAACTGTACACAAGAATAATTTTCTTTGTTCATTTCAGGGAGTCATATGACTAAGCAAAGAACTGAAAGAGTAGAAAGTGGGAAATAAATTAAGAAGGGAAAAAGCACCAATGCTAAACAGTGATGTCTAAGGGCAGTAATTAAAAATTTAATAAGAGAAAGAGACTGCAAAATGATACTTCCATCAAGAGGGAAAAAAGTATACCAAAGCTGCCAGCTTTTTGTTTCCAGTTAAAGGAGGATATACTAAGTCTTATTTTACTTGTGCACAAAATAATTCAAACTTGAAGACGCCCTGACTACAAGAATGTAAAAAATAATTTTGTGATAGTCTATTATTCTCTTCATTCTCAAAATCCTAGGCTTGATGTACCTGAAACTCATAAGCAATACATATTTTTAGATCTTGGGGCTATCAAGAGATAACAATTAGAAATGGTCATAGCGAGAGATAGTCAAAATTTGCCGTCTAAAAAAATCTTAAAATACCCACAGTGCAAGGCCAGGAGGCTCAGCTCTGTCGTTTCCATTGACAGTTTAAGAAATAATGACCATGATCACACCAGGCTTCTACTGCTGATACATGCCCTCTGTTTATTTCAACCCCACATAGTTTTGGAAAACCACCATGAGTATCACTTCCAGTTTTCCTTAATGATGACGCAACAGAAAAAAGATAAGCTTTGGAGTTAAATTTCTATGGTGAAAAGCCACTTAGCCTTCCTACTCTTCAGTTTCCTCATGTGGAAAATGGAGTGAAATAATCAACACCTTTTCAAGAATGTTATAAACAGAATGCTGAGCCCACACTAACTTTTCTTTGAATTTATTTTGTATTTTTTGACTTAACATTATTTTCACCTTTATATGTTTAATAATATTGATAATATTTGTTAATTCTGGCACCCAAGCAAAACTGTAAATCCTGTGAGGATATAAGCCATGTTTCTCTCTTCTTTTGTGTTACTTGCTGCACTGCTGGACATACTACAAATACTCAAAAAATATGTACTTACAGATTGATTAATGAGGCAAATGATTGCCAATATATAGAAAAAAATGGCTGAAGAATCAACTAATATTCTGGATGTAGTAAAAAACTATCGCCAGTCTTGGTGGCTCAGCCTGTAATCCCGCGCTTTGGGAGGCTGAGGTGAGTGGATTGCCTGAGCCCGTGGGTTCGAGACCCGCCTGAGCAACTTGACAAGACCTCATCTCTACAGTAAATCAAAATATTAGCCGGGTGTGGTAGTGTGTGCCTGTAGTTCCAGCTACTTGGAAGGCTGAGGCAGAAGGATCACCGGAGCCCAGCAGGTCGAGGCTACGGTGGCCGGGAGCAGCTACTGTACTCCAGTCTGAGTGACAGAGTGAGACTCCAACTCAAAAAAAAAACAAACAAAAAAACCTGTATCATTATAACTGGCTAGCCATGAAACTCAGCTTTGCCAAATTATAAACAAAGATGAATAAAATATTTTTAAAAAAAGAAATAACGAACCAAAAATAATTTTATATTGGTGTAGCACTTTACATTATATGTAGCCCGTGCTGCTTAACAATAGGGATACTTCTGACAAACGCATTGTTAGGTGATTTCATCGCTGTGTGAACATCACAGAGTATACTTACACAAGCCTAGGTGGTAGAGCTGACTACACACCTAGTCAATATGAAATAGCCTATTGCTCCTAGGCTACATACTTGTACAACATGTTACTGTGCTGAATACTGTAGATAACTGTAACATAATGGTAAGCTGTACATCTAAATACATATAAACATAGAAAAGATAATGCATTATGGAAAGAGTGGAGAACTTGAATTATATACACATTAAAACCTGGTACAAATTCATGAATAGAAAAATTAAGAAATTATATAAATTTCTGAGATAGCAGTGGTGAGAAAAGTGTCCCAAAACTGACACAAACATTTATTAAATGCACATTAAGAATTTTTTTTTTTTTGAGTTGGAGTCTCATTCTGTCACCTAGACTGGAGTACGGTGGCACACTCCCTGCCACTGCAGCCTCGACCTGCTGGGCTCCGGCGAGCCTTCCGCCTCAGTCTTCCAAGTAGTTGGAACTACAGGCACGCGCTACCATATCCGGCTAATTTTTTATTTATTTTAGAGACGAGGTCTCGCCAAGTTGCCTGGGCGGGTCTCAAACCCATAGGCTCAGGCAATCCACTCACCTCGGCCTCCCAAAGCGCTGGGATTACAGGCTGAGCCATCGAGACCGGCTGCACATAAGAATGTTAACTTTACTTGTGATGTATAGCTAAAAGGATATGGCATACTTTACCCCTAGCATCTGTGTTCCAGTCACAATATTTACATATAAGTTTTAAAAGCTTTTTATAATAAGGCATGAAAATATGATCAGTTCTGTTATATAAATCCACTTCACCTCCTGTTCTTTAGAAGAGTTATGCTTTAACAGATTTCTACTCTTCATTAAACCTACCTGGCTCTGTGATTGTTTTGGGCTTCTCAGTTTCTACAGTGTCTGAATTTTCAGGCATTTCCTGAATATCATCTTCTGCAAATCCAGTATCTGGACTGCTTGTTGGCTTGTCATCATCTTCATGACTCAGAGACGGTGAAGCTTCTCTCTTACTTATCTCTAAGACAGCAGCTAGAAGTTCTTCCTCACTCATTCTGTCAAATCCTGAGTTTTCCAATTCAGACTTATCAGGCTCTATTTTGCATAATTTTGTATCCTGAAGAAGAAGAGTTACTTTTATGAGAAATCAAAATGCCTACAAATATAACAATTTTTTTTTTTTGAGTTGGAGTCTCATTGTATCACCCAAGCTGGAGGGCAGTGACATGCTTCTGGCCACAATAGTCTTGATCTGCTAGGCTCAAGTGATCCTTCCACTTTAGCCTCCCAATTAGCTGGAACTACAGGCACGTGCCACCATGCCCAGCTATTTTTTTTTTTTTTAATTTTTTGATTTATTGTAGAGATGAGATCTCGTCACGTTGCACAGGCTGGTCTGCAAGCTCAAGGCAATCCTCCTACCCTGGCCTCCCAAAGTGCAGGGATTATAGGCATGAGCCACCGTGCCCAGTCTCAAATATAGCAATCTTAATTAGAGTTAAATGGAAACTTTATTTCTAAAAAGTTTCCCTTTTTTAATGCTTTGAGTTATTGACAATCAATAACCAATATATAAACCCTTTGGCAAGCCTAATTTTAAAAATAATAACTACATAGGCATATATGATTATTATCCTTCATTATAAGTGCACATTTTTTAGAAACTTGGAAAACACATAAAAATAAAATATATTCACTAAAATAGATTACTTAACTCATAGATAATTACTCTAAGTATCTCTGGTTTACTTTCTTCCAGATATACATGGATTATATTGTAAATATTACTGTAAATATGATAATCTATCATTAACACTATTAAATTATATCATTAACTATAAGCTGGTCTTATCCATAATAATATATGAGAAAATTAAAAACTATATCAAGATTAAGTAAATATTCAGAAGGTATTTTCTGAAGTTTTCTTTTACTTGTGGGAGATTTTCTGACTTCTCTCATTTCTCATTCAAGGTAAGCAACCACAAACTACCTTTGGCTTTAAAGTAAGAAAGGAGGGACAGGCACAAGGGTTCATGTCTGTAATCTCAGCACTTTGAAAGGCTGAGGCAGGAGGATCACTTGAGCCCAGGAGTTGGACAGACATAAACAAACAGACAAGGTAAGACAGAAAACAGAAAAAAAAAATCTACTAAAATAGTTCTATTATTTTACCAAAAAGGTTGAAAATAAAACAGTAGCATGAGATAATGTAAATACCTAGAAAAGTTAACATCTTCAAAGTATTAACTATCATTAATACTTCACATTCGGCTGGGCTTGGTGGCTCAGCCTATAATCCTAGCACTTTGGGAGGCTGAGTCGAGTGGATTGCCTGGGTCTGCAGGTTCAAGACCAGTGCGGGCAACTTGGCGAGACCTTGTCTCTACAATAAATAAAAAATTAGCCGGGCGTGGTAGCACATGCCTGTAGTTCCAGCTACTTGGAAGGCTGAGGTGGAAGGATCGCTGGAGCCCAGTAGGTCAATGCTGAGGTGGCCGTGAGCATGCCACTGCACTCCAGCCTGGGCAATGGAGTGAGACCCCAACTCAAAAAAAAAAAAACAGAAACAAAAAACTTCACATCCATAATTTAAACAATTAGACTACCTTGTTGCTCTGCTGATGTAAAACACTTACTGCAAGCCAGGCTCGGTGGCTCCGCCTGTAATCCCGCGCCTTTGGGAGGCTGAGGTGAGTGGATTGCCTGAGCCCGCGGGTTCGAGACCCGCCTGGGCAGCGAGACCTCATCTCTACAATAAATCAAAAAATCAGCCGGGCGTGGTAGCACCTGCCTGTAATTCCGGCTACTCGGAAGGCTGAGGCGGAAGGATCGCCGGAGCCCAGCAGGTCGAGGCTGCGGTGGCTGGGAGCGGCCACTGCACTCCAGTCTGGGCGACAGAGTGAGACTCCAACTCAAAAAAAAAAAAAGAAAAACACTTACTGCAGTTTTCTCACATAAACAATTGCTACCCCCCAAAAAGCAAGTAATTATTTGAGGACCAATATGTAAAAGTAGTTCTGAAGGTTGAAAGAAGAAAGTAATTTTCTTTTTGCTCAGGCAATCCTCTTACCTCGGCCTCCCAAAGTGCTGGGATTACAGGCTTGAGCCAAAGCGCCTGGCCAATTTTCTCTTTGAGTTGGAGTATCACTCTGTCACCCAGGCCGGAGTGCAGTGGCACGCTCACAGCCACCCCAGTGTCGACCTGCTGGGCTCAGGTGATCTTCCGCCTCTGCCTTCCAAGTAGCTGGAACCACAGGCACGTGCTACCATGCCCAGCTAATGTTTTGATTTACTGTAGAGATGATGTCTCGCCAAGTTGCCCAGGCTGTTCTAGAACTCATGGGCTCAGGTAGTCCCCTCACCTCAGCCTCCCAAAGTGCTGGGATTACAGGCTGGAGCCATTGTGACTGGCTGAGAAAGAAATTTTCTAGACAACTTTAACCCTTTGCACTTGGAGACTTCTTGTGGATCACATACCAGCAATTCAACCATACTTTTTTTTACAAAATAGTGAAAAATGAATCACTTTGTATTAAATAGTATAGTATTGAAACCAATTATTTTATTGCAATGATAATTGGCTTATACTGGAATTTTGGACATCAAGGAACTTATGACCAAAAAAAAAATTTTTTTTTTTGAGTTGGAGTCTCACTCTGTTGCCCAGACTGGAGAGCAGTGGCATGCTCCCGGCCACTGCAGCCTCAACCTGCTGGGCTCCGGCGATCCTTCCGCCTCAACCTTCCAAGTAGCCGGAACTACAGGCATGCACTACCACGCCCAGCTAATTTTTTGATTTATTGTAGAGATGAGGTCTCACCAAGTTGCCCAGGCAGGTCTCGAACCCATGGGCTCAGGCAATCCACTCACCTCAGCCTCCCAAGGTGCGGGATTACAGGCTGAGCCACTGAGCCCGACTAAAATAAAAATTTTATATCTCGTATTTTTCTAATGTGTGGTAACGTGAAATAGTTACCAACATGCACTGTGGGTTCACTGAGACATGTTGTACAATAGTAATTTGTTTGAACATCTTTTATCTGGTGTTTTTCTATTCGAGCAGACAATGCAGTCTTGTTTTCTTTCGCCTACATTAACATGTAATTTTTGAAGACTATGTGGAAGGACATTCTCTTTCTACGTAATGACAGGTGATTTTTTTTTTAACATTTACCTCAGTACATATTCCATCTCTTTATTTACTTTCTTGTGCAATTTAAACAGAAAACATGCATTTTTGAAAAATAGGTGCTGGCATAAGTTTACCCTGTACAATCACTGGCAATTTCTTTATGTCTCCTTTCAGAGGACAACAGAGTAGTTTGCTAGATTTATGTCCCCTCCCAGGGGACATCTGAGTACAAAGGGTTAATTTTTTAATAGCCTTGGTCCATCTGTAAACTGGTTTTTGTAGCTAGAGAAAGTATGCTTTTTGAAACTAGTGTCTGAAAAGAGTTACTGCGTTTATGATCTATTGTGTGTTTTTATTAAGTTTGCTGATGATGGTTATAAGCAGCATTTTTTTGGACAGTAAGAGCTATACAAATCTTTCTCAGAGGTTATAACAAAAAACTACTTACTTTTTCCAGGTCTTCCTGTTGCTGTTCACTACCTGCCATTTCACAAAGTCTCTGGCTGAGGGCCACAGAGCGTTTTAACTCATCCTCACTGTCTGAATCAAGGCATAAAGTCAAAGAGCTTTTGGATTTGAAGGTGAATTTCCTGTAATTTAAGAAAAAAAAAAAAAACTATATAAGTCTGATGAACATTTGTCATTGTTTTTCTTTAGATGTGTAAATTCCAAAACAAAATTCTTTTCCCTTATGGAAAAGTATTCAACAGAGAAAAAAGATATATACCAAGAGAGGTATATTTAAGCATTACCTTTGCCCCACTCCAAAAGAGGCATGCTTTGAATACTGGACAAGTCTTATGCTATTTTATATCATCAGTAAATCAATCACTTTGTGCCTTTTTGCTTTTAATGATCAACCCCAATGAAATTTGTTGTTGTGTATGAAGTAAGTACTCTACTGAATTCATGCAGGCATAGCAATGAATAAATGTTTTTGACAACAAAGTGCATGAAGACTAATTTTTTATCCCTTAAGTTATGATCCATGCACTTAAAAAAATAACAGTAACATTCCACTTATCCACTTATCTGTAGGTCAGACTTCTGGCAACCTCTACCTTCCAGAACACAGGGATTCCAAAGTAAGAAAAAAGGCTTCCGAGGAAGGCAGTTTCAAAGCCCATGCACTTACAAGGACCCTTTCTTTCCCAGGAAATGGTATACAAAATAGTGTAGCAAGTTCATCAAGAAATGAGAGCTAAGAAATGAGAGAGAATAACCACAAATAGGGCAAAAAGGAACTATAAGTCATTTAAATTTAAAAGTAAACTATCTTGTATTAAGAGCCTCTGAGGGCAATATCATATTGAAACACAGTGCAATAACTGATACTTATGCTGATTCTAAGTCATTAAGGTAGACTTAATTTATCTTTAGTGTATTTTATTTTATTTAAGAATATAAAGAATAGTGCACATATTTTAGAAAAATTTTCATCCAAATAGTTAAAATGTTTTAAAGATAAAATGCTTAAAAAGGCAAGCTTCAGTTATATAAAAAAATCATTTATGCAGAATATCAAATATTCTTTAATGACATCAGATAAGTAAGGTGTTACTGTGTTGTCTACAAGGTAAACTGAAAATAAATTAAAGGAAAAAGTGGTAAAGGTCAAAGAACAAGAACTTTCTTTAATGGAGGTTAACATAAATTCATATGCTATACTAAAAAAATATAAAAATGAAAATTGGAAAAACGCAATCAACCTAAATGTAAAAACTGTAAATAAACATATAGAATAATGGCACCAAGAAACAAGAGGCCACAGAGGAAATCAGGAAGATTGCATAGCAATGTAGATCAAAGAAAAGCGGCAATGGTCAGTGATAAGCCCAAATGTAGTCTGTGGCTGAGAACAGCCAGGATATCACTGCACTCTAGCCTGAACACCTGAATAGCCTTCCATTATGTGCTCAAAATGTTTTTTAGTATAACTTAGAAATAGCCAATTAGCCATCTTAATTCTTCATTTCTGATTTCATGCTTACCAAGCAAACCTAAACATATTAATTTACTTATCCAGGTAAATACTTTGCTGAAGGAAGGTGACACCTGGCTACTACTACACCAGGGTCAGATGTGACAAAGGATGTTGCAAAAGAACCGATGGTATTCTGGTTCACAACTCAGAATCTTTTAAGTTTGATCGGCATCACAGGTCTTAAAGGGATTAATCATCCATTACTGACATACTCTCAAATTCTCATATCAGTAGAAGAACAGATGACCATGCCAAAGTACAATGATGCCCAATGAAACCATCTCTTTCTTGCAACTACAGTGATCTGGTATAGTGATCTGGTACATAAAGAGTGCATTCCAATAATAATTACTATATTCACAGAAGGCAGCTTGCCTGTAGCAATGAAAAATATTCATCCTGTAAATGCATCACTTGCTCACTTTCTAAGCAGCCAAGTGGTATTGCTCATTTGTATCTTGAGAACGGGCAAGAGTATTCATATCGGTACCATTTCAGATTTCTAGTCATGTTAGTCATCTGGTTTTAATTGCACTGAAAAATAATTAACAGGAGGAAAAGAAAATAGCAGTTCTCAAATATCATTTATGATTATATCAAACCCCCAAAAGCCCTTAACAACAAAGTGTCTTTTCTCTACAGTGGGCCATCAAATTTTTGGAAGAGTGAATTTTAAAGTCAAATGACAACTGAATCAATTGGAATGGTCCAATCAGGAACTCCTCTAGCAAAATTTTAGAGAAGATATATTTAAAGAAGAAAGGAGATATATTTATCCATACGTGGATAAAGTTTGGTTTTTAAACAAAAAACATAAAGCATTTGTAGAACAGCTACATTCCAGTGCTTGCTTCTTTTCCTATTCCCTTTCAAATACCTCCTATTTAGTGTCAAAGACAAAGAAGTCCCAGACTGGCTAACAACAAGGAAAAATATGTTTCAAGATTCCATGTCTACTTTTTAGGAAGGGTACTTTAGACTAACAAGAGTTATTTTATCCTTTCAATCCCTAGAATTCTTTGACATCAGTCGATTTTTAGAGTTTTAGTATGAAAATATTACATATTAACAAAGGGTAAGTTTTAAAAAGTTTTAAGACAAAATATTGAGACGATCAGCTAAATTTGTATCACTGTTTAAAAATTAGTTATACCTGTGGCTATGCTCTAAAACAGATTCAGGAAATTGTCAAAGTATGGGTAATAAAGAGCACTTATCATGCAAAAAGAGAAACAATTAAGAAAAGGAAGGGGCGCAATCTTGGAGATGAGGGTAAGCCAAATCCTTAAAAATATAGATTTTGGGTACACAAGAAATATCACTCACTTTGAAGGTGTAGAAGGGCTGGTGATGCAGGAATTCACCATGTGGGAGGCTTTCAATGGTCTAGAACTATCAGAAAATTAAAAAATATATAATGTATACAAATGCATTAGTAAAAATATATATTTAACGTATAAAATGAGTATTCTGCACTCTAATGCTTTATATGTCCTCTTGAAGAGCAAACAATTACACTATTTCTTAAATTACTAGCAACAGAAGCCACAAGAGAAAATGAAATACCATCTCTACTCTTTCCATGATCCAATGATCTAAATACACAGCACTGAAAACTAAGTCAAGTGTAATGCATGCGAAAAAAACGTGGGAAGAATTACCTCGTCTCAGTTTATTTTTAAGCAATAAAATACTAATAGCTCTCATTTATTGAGGACTTACTAGATGTCAGGCACTGTATTAAGAATACTACATATATTACCTCATTTAACACGCACAAACACCCTATTATATTTTCCTTTCAGACAAGTTAAGGAATGTGTCCATAGTCTTGAAGTTTCAGGTCTATGATCATAAAGACCCTACATCGTTGGTGTAATATAGCACTACGGCCAGAAAGATTAAGAGTTTTACCAGCAGAGGGCAGTTTGCACTAAGCAAAAACATTCATTCCAAAGAAAAGTCATAAGAGATAAAAAACCAGAAACAGTTAAACTCTCTGGGCACATGCTTTAATAAACAGACCTTTGAAGACTTTAGTGTAAACTTATATGAGACCTGGCTCTTTCAGTTACTAACTGTATGACTTTAGGAAAATCATTTAATTTCTTTGGATTGCCGCTATAAAAATAAGGATTTGGACAAAATCTCTAAAATCTCTTTTATCTCTGATGTTCTAGAACTTTATGATTCTACCAAACTAGTGTTTGAATATAGACAAGAATGACATAGCATGTGACACCAAAGTAATGCAAGTATGCAGGAAAAAAAGGAACATTCAAAGAAGTCCTAAGGTTTCCCCAGCATGTATGATGAAACAAAACCTAAAGTAAAGGTTACTTCCTTTCTCCTTAAAAATTATCTAGAGGCCATTTACGTTCTAATCATTTTGGGATTGCCAGTATAACACTTAGTACACTGTTTTTCAAATCTGCATGTCTCAAAGAGTTGAGTGAAACATTTGTTAAAAAAAATCGATTCTTGGCCAGGCGTGGTGGCTCAAGCCTGTAATCCCAGCACTTTGGGAGGCTGAGGTGAGAGGACTGCCTGAGCCCACGGGTTCAGACCAGCTTGGACAACATGGTGAGACCTTGTTTCTACAATAAATCAAAAAATTAGCTGGGCATGGTAGCACGTGCCTGTAGTTCTGGCTACTTGGAAGGCTGAGGTGGAAGGATCACCAGAGCCCAGCAGGTCGACGCTGGGGTGGCCCGTGCCACTGCACTCCAGTCTGGGTGACGGAGTGAGACTCCAATTCTCCAACTCAAACAAAAAATCTGATTCTCAAATCTTATCTGCCAGGGGGAAAAAAGCCACAGAAATTGGAATCTTTCATGTCTAGATGACTCTTATCACCCAAGTTTGAGTTATACTCTCAAAGTATCTCAAACTGTCTTCTAGTGGTCCAAAGAGTAAGAGTACTCCCTAAAAAAGCACCTCATTATGAAAAGCACCTGGTGAACTTAGAAGTTTTTTTACTTCAATCAGGCAGTCATTTAACACTAAAATTCCAAAGTAAAGGAAAATTAAAATTTCCTTTTTGGCCTGCTTTTACCTTGGAGTCATGTTATCAAGTTCATTCATTCTTTTGACTGGATACTAAAGTCTTACTATTCCAAAAGGGAATGTAAATACATTGTCTCTTAAAGACTTACATTGCCATATGTGCACTCCAACCGAGGGTAAAAGGCGGTTTTGTATTTTCAGTACAATGAGATGACAGGGTCAGGTATCTTGGAATGATGACTTGCTGCCCAATCTTGTTGTTAAGTGAGAGAGCCACGTTGAAGCTGTATCGTTTCAAATGAAGAATAAGGACCCTGAAAAACAGAAAATGAAGACTTTATTAATTCATACATAACATAGATAGCTCTTATACATTAAGAGATCACTCTAAACAACCATGCTACACAACTTTTGATTTAAAGAACACATCTGACCAAACTAAAGATACATCAAAGAACATTTACTGGATACTTGTCACATGCCAGCACTGGGCTAGTATTAAGCATACAAATAAAAACAAAACAGGGACAGTGGTAGATTAATGTGGTTTGAGTAAAATACTTGTGTTGTTCCTAGAAAAAGACACAAATAAATAAAAAGCAGTAGAGAAGAATGCTAAATTTTGAAATTTGGTATTAATATTAGGTTAAATCCTTAAATTATTTACCTCATCGTTATATATTTTAAAAGGAAATGCGTGCTATATAACCACTGCTGATAAAATGTTTATTAATTAAAATGTTACACAGCCCTTATGTTTGATGGTACATGCTTTCTGTTTTAATTTTTTGAGAGATAGTGCCTCGCTCTGTTGCCAGGCTGGAGTGCAGTGGCATGATCATGGCACACCGCAACCTTGAACTCCTGGGTTCAACCGATCCTCCCACCTCAGTCTCTCAAGTAGCTGAAACTACAAGCATGTGCCGCCACACCCAGTTGATTTTTTTTTTTCTGTAGAGATGTCTTGTTATGTTGCCCAGGCTGATCTTGTACTCCTGGCCTCAAGCAATCCTCCTGCATTGGCCTCCTGCTAGGATTACAGGCCAGGCGTGAGCCACTGTGTCCAGTTTCAAGATAATTTTTGAAAAGAATTATCATTTTATTTCAGCAGCACTTCCTGATGAGAAAGTGAATAAATACAAAAAATTTTCCCACCGAGAAAACAGTTGTACAAAAATTTTCAATCTAGTATGAGGGTCTGAAAAGGCTTTTAACACTTTAGAAAAAACAGTGTATTCTTTTTGGTTACTTCTGCGATAAACTTTTCACCTCTTGAATAGAACATAATCTCTGCTCAATAGATTAAATGTATCTCTCAACCCACAAGAACATTTAAAAAATCTTAAGGGAATTAACTTCAGTTCTAGGCTAAGAAAAAAGTCTGATCTATGAAAAATTGTTTTTTACCATATACACCTTCATCACAGAAGCCACAAACAAAACTCTGCGAATTGAAGTTATTGATTATACTTCTATTTTTAAAAGCATACTAGAATTCATGACCTTCAAATTCACAATGTGAGTGAACATCAGGACCCAGTTGATGTGAATGAAAACTAATGTTAAAATCAAATATTTTGACTAAAATTCAAATAATCCTAACCAAAATAAAAGGTAATATGAAACAGGAAAATGAAAGTCAAAATCATTAGTCTTCAAAGATAAGCCACCTAACAGTTTGATAAAGATATCAGGTCTTTCAAGAGTAAGAAAGACTTTGAATATTAAAAAGAACAAAATAGAACAAGACTAATCATTAGAATTTAGCATACAGAGGCTTCTATTCATTAAATCTGGAATAAATTAACCTTTAACACAAGTGACCTACCAAGAAAAAAACAAAACAAAACAAAACACAGAAAAAAACAAAACAAAACAGAAAAAAACAGGAGAAAAATTCGCTTCACTAATTTTTCCGCCCACTTGAAAGACCAAGAGAATGGGAAAGGGAAGAAACATATAGCTTGGGAGGTCAAACCAGTCTTTTTAACTGTGTACTTGCTTCCTTAGTGACAGCTGGTTACAACCAATCCTTTGCTTTAAGATTTCTTCCTCCCACCATCCTGGCCTCAAAACACTCACAAATAGAAAAGGACAAAGTCTCTTAAGTCAAAAATACAGACGGTAGTCAATATAATAATACTGCTACAAATAAAAGAAAGTAAAGCACTCTGCAAGCAAAGTGCTACATAAATACTTAATGTTAATAATAACCTTGTTTGTGTTTGAGATCTATTCTTGGAAAACTGTCCTGTAAACACATTATAATTTTTTAGAACTAGCTTGGTTTTATGTTTGTTTATACAGAACTAATACAATGTAAGTTAATTTCATTCCCAAGTCAGAAAATTCATCTTACGATTACAGGAAATTTACCAACTTGTAAGATCCTCTGAAGAAAGGAATGCACAAACTGCAAAAAATTACTCTTCCTATTTTATTTTCATGTGGATGTGTCTGTAGCAAGTTTTTACTAAAGGTATGAATAACAGAGGGAGACCACAGCACAACATAGGAAAACAATTTTATTTTGTGTGTGTTAGGGGTCTCACTCTGCTGCCCAGGCTGGAGTGCAGCAGCACAATCACTGCTCACCACAGCCTCAACACTCTGGGCTCAGGCAATCCTTCTGCCTCACTCTCCTGGATAGCTGGGATTATAGGCATGTGCCACAACACCCAGCTATTTTTAAAATTTTTTTGTAGAGATGAACTTTCACTGTGTTGTCCAGGCTTGTCCTGAACTTCAGGGCTCAAGCAATCTTTTCACCTTGGCCTCCCAAGGGAAGGGACTACATGTGTGAGCCACCATGTCCAGTCCAGGAAAACAAATTATAACTGAATGTTACACATTACTGAATTAAAATCTACTAGTTAGCTCCTATCATTATTCCAAAGTCTCACCAGCTTCATCTTCTATTGTCATCTTCTTGGGACTCTTAAGACCCTTTAAGCTAGTTTCCCACTCTCTACACTCTGCACATTTCAGCTTTGAGACTTTCTTTACCAATCTATTCTGATAAGTTTTACTTACTAAGTAATATTTGTATGTATTTTAAAAGGAAAAACTGAAGAGCAATTAAATATACCTGGGAAGCCTGTTAAATTTGTGCCTGACAAGAGCACACTTCCCACCACACTTCTCACAGGAATACTCAAGTTCTTCTGCCTATGAAAAGTCAAGAGAAAAAAATAAAGCATGAATTTAAATCAGCATTAACCCATTAAATGCAAATCATTTCCCCAGTCTGATTAGTTCAGTGGAACAACAGCTTTGGAGCAATTTATATTCTTTGTCTGGAACCACAAGCTGTATCCAAATTAAAACCTAATTCTCAAAATACACTTATAATATTATCATGCCCTATTTCAGAATTCCTAATTTCCTTTTTTACTAAGTAAACACCTAAATTTATGAAGTAACTATATTCTAAAGTAGCAGATTCTCAACCTTTTCCCCATGGACACACATGAACCACTGCCAAGAGTATAGCCAGATTTTAGTATTTGGCCATGCAGAGATAAGACCAACTTCAGGTTAGGCAGAGTTACTGGTCTGTTAAGTGTAACACTACCTCTTTCTTATAATGGAACTCTATCTTCTGGTGACAGCCCCTAAGAACAACTGCTCTAAAAAAGACCAAAGATTGGAATTGATATTATTATTATTATTATTTTTGAGTTGGAGTCTCACTCTGTCGCCCAGACTGGAGTGCAGTGGCCGCTCCCGGCTACTGCAGCCTCGACCTGCTGGGCTCCAGCGATCCTTCCACCTCAGCCTTCCAAGTAGCTGGAACTACAGGCACACGCTACCATGCCCGGCTAATTGATGACTTATTGTAGAGATGCGGTCTTGCCAAGTTGCCCAGGCGGGTCTCGAACCCGCGAGCTCAGGCAATCCACTCACCTCGGCCTCCCAAAGTGCTGGGATTACAGGCTGAGCCACCGAGCCTGGCCGGAATTGATATTATTACCTAGAGAAAACTGAAACAAGAAATCCTTCAAAAATAGAGATAAAGTACAAAGAAAAATCTTCAAGGTCTACGATGATAACAGGAATATTAAACTAAAACTAAAAAAGAAAGTATCTATCTATGGGTAGAGCTGATGATCACTATTATAAAGAATACATACGCTGAGCTTGGTGGCTCAGATCTTAGTATATCAACTTATATTTCATCTACAGTTTTAATTCACATTACCAAATTTTAGCATATGTCATTACAAATAAACTGCTTCT